AGACCCCAGAAACTAGAAAGGCGAGGCTCACTGAGCTGTTTATCCCCCTGCCCTTCAATTAACCCAACATGTGTTTATTGGCCAGGTTGGCACAATAAACTAACTACCTCAATCTGTATGCCTAAAAGGGAGTCCAGTTAATAGACTGGACTTATTCAAATTCACCTACCATTCACTAATGCAAAAGATGAAGAAATGAAAGATTTTTAGCAACTTCTTCAATCTGAAACATGCAACCAAATACACTGATAATTACTGATCGCAATATGGAAACTAGAAACAAAAGATTGGCAACTAGAAAATATGGTCCTGGTGACAGAACTGACAGTAATGTAAATTTATAAGACCAGTAACATAGCAAATACCCTTTTCCTTACAACATAAATGATGACTGTGCAAGAGGGCCTCTCCAAATGGAATAACCAAGAACCAAATTGATTACATCTGTGGAAAGAGATAATGGAGCAGCTCAATATCAGTCAGAGTAAGACCGGGGGCTGCCTGCGGAAGAGACCATCAGTTTCTCAAATACAAGCTCAAGTTGAGCCTTGAGAAAATAGGTTTACAAAAGCCAAAATATGACCTTGAGTATATCCTACCTTAGTTTAGATATCATCTTAAGAACAGATTCAACACATTGAACACTGATGATCAAAAGGCAGATCAACTTTGAGATAACAGTATCATGATGTCTCCGTGTCATCTCAAAGTTGATCTGCCTCATGATTGGCCTGCTAATCTCAAGGTCAGCAGTTTGGAGCCACCAGTTACTCTGTGGGAGAAAGAGGCTTTCTAATTCTGTAAAGGATTACAGCCTCAGAAACCCACAGGGACAGTTCTATCCTGTCCTATAGGGTAGCTGAGTTGGAACTGATTAGGTGGCAATGAGGCTTTTGCTTTTTTATATATAAAATACAAAAGTTACTAAAAAGACAGGAAAGAAAAGATAAAAATGACTCAGAAGGGACTGTGAAATTTACTCTTCCCTATAGAACAGTTAAAGTAAAAAGAAAGAAATGAGGTAAAATAGTGGAACAGAAAATTCCAAAGGACAGCTGAGGAAGATGAAGTAAAGCATTTTAATCAAATGTGCAAAAGGGAAGAATGCACTGGCATATTTCAAGCTCAAAGAACTGAAGAAAAATTGTCTCAAGTTGAAATATTAGAGGATTCTATGACTACAATACAGAATGGAGGAGCTTCATAATGACATGCAGGGAACTGCACAGTCATAATACCAAAAGTAACTGGGTGATTTTCAAACATTTTAAGAGGTAGCACATGAAGGCAGAAGCCCATGCTGTGCTGGAGACATTAGTGAAAACAAAGCTTGAGGAAGCAAAGGACTTTAATTTGAGAAGTTTCAACAAATGGATGAAATGCTGGAATCACTCAATCAATATGGCAAGAAATTTGGAGGACAGCTAATTTGGCCAATCAAGTGGAAGAGAGGCACATTTGTGCTCTTCCAAGCAAGGATTATCCAAAAAATGTGGATATTATTGGATTATTGAATAATATCATTAATATCACATGCAAGTAAAATGTTACTGAAGATAACTAAAAAATAGTTTCAGCAGAACCTTGACAGGGAACTTCTAGGAATTCAAGCTGGATTAGGAAGAGTATGTGGAATGAGAGACTTCATTGCTGCTGTCAGACTTCATTGCTAAGGATCTTAGCTGAAAGCAGAGAATAGGAGAAAGATGTTTACCTATGTTTGATGGACTATGAAAAGATATTTGATTACAGGAATCATAACAAATTAAGAATACCAGTGTAAAGAATGGGACTTCCAGAGCACTTAATGTTCAATGGGAAATCTGGACATAGACAAACTGACCAGCGGATACTGCATGGTGCAGAATCAGAAAGGAAAGTTTCTCATGGTTATATTCTTTAAAAAATAGCTTTAATGGCATATACTTTACAAATCATGTAATTTAATCATTTAATTTCAGAACATTTTCTTTTTCTTGTATTCACTGTTGTTAGCTTCCCATTCCTCACCCCACCCCTTCCCCACCAATCTCCTCTGCCATGCCCCTAGGTAATTATTAATCCAGTTACTCTTGCTATAGATTTACCTTTCCTTGATTTCATATAGAGAAACTCATACAAAACACAAAGAGGAATCAAACAAAAACAACCCACCAACAACAAAAATAACAACTAGATAAAATATAGAAAAATGTCCATTGGAAAAAAGCAGAAAATATTAAAACTGAAACAACTTTAAAATAGGTCAAAAGGGAGACCAAATGCTAAGGCTATATATCCTTTTACTATACTTACTCAATCTGTATGCTGAGCAAATATTCGGAGAAAATGCACCATCAGGCTTGAAGGAAGGTTATATGATATGCAGATGACACACCCTGGTGAAAGCTAAGAGGACTTGAACCACTTATTGATAAAGATCAAAGACGATGACCTTCATGCCGTGGTTGTATAATCTGTTGTCAATTTGAGACTTAAGAGTGAAAGGGTGGAGATTAGCCTGTCAAGCAGGTCGCAGCTTGATGCCCTCATTTGGAGGCCCTAAAGAGATAAATAGCTCCTTGGAGGCAGTACACATGCTCACTCCCTATGCGGCATGCTTGCTGACAAGACTTTCTACCCACTGGCCTGTGATCGTTCTACACTCAGCATGTATTTAATGAGTCTGAAGAGGACTTTATAGATTGGTATCGGACATATGGGCTAATATTGTTTCTCCAGTCAGCCCAGACTAACATACTTCAGTATGGATTATATCTCAAAATAAGGTTAAAATTGAATACTTTATCTTTTGTTTTCCCTTTGGCCCATTTAAAGTCTGTTCTAGCTTTCATTCTTTTCTGTTATCTTTTCAATTAAAGCTATACTATGCTTTATTTTTTTATTGTTGGGGTTTCTTCTTCTTCTTTTTGGGTCTGTTTCCCTTTGTATGAAATCCAGGATAGGTGTATCGGTAGAGAGAGGAACTGGATTAACAGTTCCTTGGGGAGGTTAGGGAGAGATGAGAAGCAAATAACGTGTACAAGAAAGAAGAAAGTGTTCGGAAATTTATGGTGTGGAAGAGTGCACATCGTTTAAAATATGTTTAGACTACTGAATTGTATGATATGTGAATTCCATGTCAATAACAACTGTTTAAAAATTTAAAAAGAAAATAAAAATTCCTCACTAGACCATCAAGAAATATATATGGAGATCATATTGAAGGTGTTAAGGATTTCATTTTACTTGGCTCCACAATCAATGTCCATGAAATAAACAGTCCAAAATGATACACTGGCTTGGGAAAATTTGGTGCCTGATACCTAGTTGAAGTATTCAAAAGCAAATATGCCACTTTAAAGACTAAGGCTCGTTTGACCCAAGCCATGGTATTTTTAAATCACCTTTTAGCATTTGAAAGCTAGACAATGATTAAGGGAGACAGAGAAGAACTGATACATGTACATTATGGTGCTGGTGAAGAATACGGGATATACCACGGGCAAAGAGAAGGATGAACAAACCAGTCTTAGAGGAAGTACAACCAGAATGCTCCTTACAAGTGAGGATGGCGAGGTTTCATTTCACACACTTGGGAATATGTACTCATGAGGGACCAGTCTCTGGAGAATAACATGATGTGTGGTAAAGGAGAAAGCCTCTTAATGGAAGAGATGACACAATGGTTACAGCAAGGGGATCAAGCCTGGAAATACTTGTTAGGATGGTGCAGGCCTGCGTCGTGCTTGTTCTGCTGAACAATGAGTTGCTATGAGTTAGAACTGACAGCAACCAACCACACTTTGTGGTACATGCAACTAGTTGCTACCATATTTAATAGAGCACACAGACACAGGACGTTTCTACCATTACAAAATAGTTGCTCTGCTGTGTTGAGATGCTTCTTTCTCGCTAAAACCACTTCATCTCCTATTCTATGCTTCTACCACTGAACTTTGGATTCTTCAATTCTTGAGTTCTTTCTGATCTGCATGGTCCACTGCATAACTCAACTTCCCTAATTTCCAAGCCCAGCCTTTCTAAACTCTGTTTTCCAAGCCTCTGGCCCCTTTGTGCCTGGATTTCCTGCTGTGCACCCTCGTTGTATTCCTAACTTTGGCACACCATGTTCTTTTATTTCCTTGCTCTTGTTTCTGGGATATTACTAGAAAAAATATAATGATGAAATGGATAGCATACATGCATTTAAACCTTAACTGGGTTCCCTTTGCTTCGGAAAAACACTCCTTTAATTCAACTTTGATTGACAGCCTAATTCTTGCTTCACTAAAACCTCACGACTCTCCTGACTTTCACTCTCCACATTGACTTGCCTCTTAATCACTGGGAACATAAAACAAAAAACACTGCCTGGATTTCCTTAAGAATTTGATCCACCACCAACTGATTTCCACCTGGGAGCAGTAATTTCTTGTTTTCAGATCTGGTCTTAAGATGTTTCTTTCATCTACGAGTCTCCTCCCAATCGCCACCTCTGCTACAGTGGTGTTTCTGGATCACTGCACCTGAAAACAACCTCTTTATTCTCTAATATTTTATCTGTACCACTTTCAGATGTTTGAAACTGATACTGCACCTCCTGATGTACAGGTCACCTCACCTCTCCCCCATTAAAATAGAGACAATGTGAGCGGGGGAGCTCGCTCGCTGGTGTCAACGTGCATACCCATCAGTAACTGTCATATTCTTTGTACAGAGAACACTAAATATGCATTTACTGAATGAATATTATATATCTGTTTTTGCAAATGTCAAATTTACTCCAAAGGTAGACATACTGAATCCAATAATGAATTGATGGGCACATTTCTTTTCATGATTTCAAAGAAAGCCAATAAAGTGCAGACAAGGATGAATGTGCTGATGACTCGGACTGCAGGGGACGCTGCCATAGCAATGTTTGCTCTCTGTCTGTGGGATGGTATATCAAACAGGTAGAGCATGACAGACAACAAGCAAATGACTAAGGAAACCCAGAAGAGCAGGAATAAACTTACCTTGGGTAGCAATATAATGATTGGGTCGATGATAACCCTAAAAAAGAATCGAGAAAGAGTATTTGACAAATTTAAAATTGATAAGTGGCACAGAAGTCACATACTAAGTTTTCTGAATTGAATGCATATACAAATACCGAGTTGCTTCACTTGAAAAGTAAATCATCAAACCCATTGCTATTGAATTTCTCTTAATAAGCAAAGGTGCTTCCAATATAACAGTTCTGATACTTCCAGAGGTGTGCTAACTTAATCCTACACAGCTATGAAGTGAAAGATGAGCAGTAAACACTAACTATGCATGGATTCCCTGTAATAACATGACCATGACTCTTATTAGAGTGCAAACAAGACTGGGAGTGTGCAATAGAATTTCATTTGTGTTAGGATGCTATTGGCGATGTGCCTAGGGTCTAACACATGGTCTGTTATATCAGTATAGACGCTACATCAACAGTAATACTTAAAACAATTCTTAAACACTGCTATTGCCATGGCGCAATGCTGCAGCAAGGGCCAGAAATTAAAGAGTAGAAATTGTACAAGACTCATTCCTTTTACCATGACCCTCTAATAAGAGGTGACGATGAAAACTGAGACTAAAGAAAACGGGACAATTAGCACTGTAGAAGAATTGTCTAGGAAATGTAAAATTAACCCAGAGAAAATTACACATTATGTCATCCTGGGTATTAATACTCTTTATATCTGTCACCAGAAATTACCCAAAATATTGAGCCTTAAGCCAGCAGAACAGCATAGAGAAACTTGGCGAGAAAATAGAGATTTATCAAACAAGTAATATGCCTATCTTAAGAATAAGTCACCAACAAACACAAACATGACACATGTGTGCACATTTTTACGTATCTTGTCCAAACATTGTTTTAAATCATAAACTCATTATCAATATTAAGTAACATTCAGGTACTTATTCATTCCAAGTCTAAGTCCCACAGGGGCTCGACTTGTCCAGGGCTTACCAAAGTACCAGTAGGTTGGGAGAACTCATTCCGTAAACGCAATTTGTCCACGAAGACTGGCTCCTGAGCACAATGGCCATCTCTCTGGCCCTCTCTATGGAACCCAGACCCTTGGAGCAATTTTTTTGGGGGCCTTGGTTTTCAGGATTCAACATGCACGTGGTTTTCTTTCTACTGAGCTCCCTATCATCCTTTCAGAGTTTTGTTCCTTGGTTCCTCCCCTTTCACCCAGATGCGAATGTTTGAGCCCAGATGTTGTACTTTAGTTTAAAGACAATGTGCATATACTGATAAATGCTATTGTTTTAGTTTTAGCCCAAACCTTTTCTCTGGAATCCAAAGTTGACATCCAACTGACTAGTTCATATTTACATGCAGATGTTTAGTATATATATTTAAGGATTAATACAGCTAAATGGAACTCATCTTCTCCTTAGTTCCCACCCAAATCTGTTCCCCTCAGACTCCTTTAGCTAATGATTACTCCAAATCTGGAAGGCATCCTTGACTCTTCTTTTTCTCCTATTTCCCCATATCTAATCTATCTGAAAGAAGCCCTCATGGTGTTGTGGTTATGCATTGGTCTGGGAGCCGCAAAGTCAGTGGTTAGAAACCACTAGTGACTCCTCAGGAGAAAGATGGGGCTTTCTTGTCCTATGAAGAGTTAGAGTGTTGGAACCCTTTGGGGCAGTTCTACCCTGTCCTACAGGGCTGCTGACTTGATATCTACTGGGTAGTGAGTTTGAGTTTTAATCTGTCAGTAAATACTTTTAGCTAGCCTTATCTTCAAAGTATGTCCAGAATGCTGATTTTCTCATAACCTCTACAGCTATAGCCCAAGCCAAGTCAAGCCATAAACCATTCTTTTATTATTTAATAGCAACCTAATAGGTCTTCCTTCTATTCCTGCCCACCTACACGTTATTCTCCACTCAGCAGTCAGATGCTGCTGCTTGTCCACTCAAAATCCTTTTGCTGACTTCCCACCTCACTTACAGCAAAAGCCAAAGCCTTTTCAGTTATTTCCATTACCTGGTACCATGATCTGTGTTCTTCCTTCACATTAATCCACCAACACTCATGTCCTTGTTTTTCTTCAAATTTGCAAGACATGGTTTATATCAAGGCCTTTGCATTACCATTCCTCCCTCTGGAATGCTCTTCCCCCATGCATGTCTCTATATAGTCCCACCACTCATCAACATGGCTCAAGTGTCACCTTCTCAGCCCAGCTCACTCTAGCCATTTTGTTGACAATTGTAACCCCGCCCCCCAACACCTCTCACCCACAGCCCTGCCAGTCCTAGTACTCATTGTTCCCCGTTTATGGCTTTATATTCTTTAACTGTATATACTATCTTCTAATATACTGTATAGACCCAACCTATTTACTTTATTTAGTAACGTTTTTTCATGATTAGAACAGCAGTTCTATTAGGTAAAAGGGTCAGGGTTTTATGTATTTATTTTTCCAATTATGATTTGTTCATTTATAATTCCAGTACCTACAATAGCAAGTGAAATAAAATCAATATGATTTTATTAACTGAATGCATAAAACCCACTGCCATTGAGTCAATTCTGGGTCACAGCAACACTCCCTAGGACAGAGTAGAAACACCCCAGGCTTTCCAAAGCTGTACATCTTTACAGAAACATTGCCATATATTTCTTTTGAGGAGTGGCTTGTGGGTTTGAACCACTGACTTTGATTAAAAGCAAATACTTAACCACTGCACCATCTTTTGGGCTTTCACAAATGCAAGAAAAAATTGGAACTCATTCTTTTTTTCCTATTTTTATATCTTTATTAATGTTACTTATTCAGGTTGGAATACCTTCTGTCCTATCTCTACTCATTCAGTCTTTATATACATCTCAAATCTCTGTCTCTATGATGCCTAACCTTATCACATGCACTTCATCGCTCAGAGACCCATCACACATGTCTCCATTAAGTACTTTCTGTGCTTGAGGCATGTGCCAGTTACAGGAGATGCCAAGAGGAGCAGGACTCTGCTTCTGTCCTCCGGGACCCACGAGGGCAGTGCTTCCCACAGTGAGGCTCTGGAATAATCCCGAGGGCTGCAAAAACAGCTATGAGCTGTGGTACATTAATTACCAAGGGAGCATTGAATAATTTATCTCTGAAAAGGGGGTGGTGGGCAAAGGAAGTTTGGAAACCTATGTACCAGGGACTGGAGGGCTTGAGCCGCGAATGTGACAAGTCTCAACAAGACCATCCTCTCAAAGGAAGATGTGTTCAATTTGACCAGAAGACAACACAGCTTTCTGATGTCATCCTAATATTTCAGAATATAGACTGCGAGCCCTCAGGGAGAAGGTAATAGTCCTGAACGTCAATGAGAACTCCCACAAGGTACTCACCAAGCATTTGCTGAGAGAAGGATTACCGTATATACTCAAATATAAGCCGACCCAAATATCAACTGAGGCACCTAATTTTACCACAAGAACGGCATAAAAAGGTGTGCTGAAAAACTCCGCATAGACATGAGTATATACCGTAAATATAATGTGGGTTAGAAAGAACCTCTGTAGAAATAAAAACAAAACAGAACACCTTGGCTGGTATGTTTTCAGACATTATCAAAATTGTTTAGAGGGATTTCCCTAGATAAATGGCTTATACATTTTTAAAATAATCATTTCCAAAGCCCTAGGCCCAAGTCTATAGCTAGAAAGGCCACATATTTATTTCCTATTAGCGTTTAAAACAATATACATATTTTAGGCAATTATTTCCTAGATATTGTTATGTTATTTTTTGTAACATCCAAATACTACACCATCAAGAAAATGTTCAACAAAGAAATCAAGAAACAAAATGTATTTTTAGATATCTTTCCTAGAGATTGTTGTACTAGTCACAGTTAGTAGGATCCAAATAACACTGAACAAAAACACAAGAAATTCATATATATGGATAAAACCCGTCAAAGGCAGTAGTGATTGGCTATGGGGTAATAAGGTGGCCCAACAGAGAATATACCTTATAAACTACAATGGAGCCCCACCTGTGTCATGTCAAAGTGTGCCTTCAAGGTAACAGCAATTTTCCCTTCATTTTCAGGCTACTTTTGATTTCATTCATTCTTTCAACTGAAAACAGACTGTCTTCTAAAGATTTTATTCTAATGTAAAACATTAAGCTAACATGCTGCAGAATGAACAAAGAGGCAGTCTTCAATAATTAAACACCCGACATATTTAATGCCATGGCTTGCTTGCATTAGAAGTTCTGGTTAACAGCTGCAGACTACTTTGAAGACAACTTAAAAATGCAGTGATGGCAAGAAGTTGAAAATCACCATATCAGAAATTATAGAGTTTTGTCTTATTAATATGCAAACCTATTTCTTAAAAGCGTTGAATAATCTAAGTTGTCGACACAAATGGAAATGACATTTTCTTAATCCACATCAGTTCGGAAAGGAAAGAAGCCCCGCATGCTACAGAGAAATTCATGCAGAAGTAGACTGGCTTGAGTAAAGGAGTGGTTACATCCTCACTGTTCATTGCTGTGGTGTACGTGAATGGGGCAACAGGAACATGTTTGCTCCCATGTCTCAACAGGGAGATTTCTTAGCGGTTTTGAAATACATACGTCAATATAATTCCCATTGATATAGTCTGAGTTGGTGTCTCCTTCTATTGTCTGCAGTCTCACCCGGGAATGATCATCTGCAAAGGAAAGGCAAACAATCAGGGGAAACAACCTACTATTCTGTTCAGAGCCCTGGATGTTAGCATGACAAAGCTACCATATGACATATTCATCATCCATGGTAAGGACTGACAGGCGAACAAAGCTTTCAATCCTATCTAAACCAGACCAAACCCCTTGCTGTGGAGGTGCTTAGGACTCATAGTGAGCTAACGGACAGACTAGACCTGCCCCATGGAATTTTTTAAGCTGAAAATCTTCATGCCAGCCAATTGTCTCATCTTTCTCCTGTGGAGCCGTGAGCGGGTGCAAGCCACCAACCTGCTGGTTAGCAGCTGAGTCCTTAACGACTGCACAAGCAAGTCTCCTCAGTTGGAAACTAAACCCCTCCGAAACTTGCTCTTTTGCTATGAAGAGTGGAAAGGATTTAGAATTCTTTACAGTTGACAGTCAATTTCAATAACTTATTCTCTGATCATTTGTAGACATGAAACATTAGCAAAGGTCTAAGACTTTTATATAGAGTCCTATGAACAATACATGGTTTCTTTGACTGAGACTTAAGCAACATCAGTAAATCACACACAAAGTCACATATTTTGAAGGTTGTTTTATGGCATCCACACTGAAAAATGATGGTTATAAACCCACAGCCCCGCCTTCAGTGATGGCGCTAACGCAGACATCTTTCATGCATTCAAAGCCCTCCATCTTTTCTTGGAGCACCTGGGGAAGATAGAGCTGCCACCCACCCACCAGCTGTGTGACTGAACCAAAACCCCAGCCCAGCCCACGGCCACTGAGCTAATTCTCATTCAGAGCCACTCTACATAAGGTTTCTGAGGCGGTAATCTGTACAGAAACAGATAGCCTCAACTGTCTCCTGAGGTGTGGCTGGTGGGTTTGAACTACCAACTGTGTGGTTAGCAGTCCAACACTTACCCAACATTGCCACCAGCCAGTTAGTAATACTACCAAGCCACAGCGTGGCTTTTTTTGTTAAGTAGTGTCTGACTTATATTTGGCAATTTGAAGTTTAATCTGCCCTTTCTGATGGTGTATCTACAATGAGTGAAAGTCTCAGACAAGGCTCTGTTATCCAGAATTTTTAGAAATAGATTACTAGGTCAGTGGTTGTAGACTTCTTGTTCTGGAAGCACCGATGAAACCTGTCTGTCCTGGGTGAACCTGGTGGCATATGAAAACAGAACTCCTAGCATAATAGTGACAGTCAAATCACCACAGTATGACAAACTGACAAATGGCTACATTCTGGGAAGAGCTTCATGTTGGATAAAGTGCCTTCTGAAGAGTAGGGGTTCAATTCATTTATCTGGAATGCAGTGACCAACTGTGCCAGATGTGGAAAGAGACCTGGCAGAAAGAACTGTTCTCCTCTTCTCCAAGTAGAACATGGCGTTGTGGTTATAGGTATGAGCCGTGGGTCAAGTGGGCACGAGGTATGTGCGTGTGCGTATGAGTTTCAGGGTCAGGTGTGTATGAGCTGTGGAGCCAGGTACCTAGTAAATGATTTCAAAAAAACCCTGGGAGCTAGGAAGTGCTGAACAAGTAGCAGTTATTACTATAATTACCATAAGCTGCATTACGGAGCCCCAAATTCTTCTCCTCACCATCCTTATAGTTGATGTTCAAACAAACAAAAGTAACCCCCCAAAACATATGCATTGAGAGTTTTTCATCATGACAATTGATTTTAATGCATTTTACTTCTAACCAGAAATTCCTTATACACATTTTCCCAAGTCATGGATGGGCGAGTTGTTGCGGCCCTGGGAATGAGTGGATTGTTACGGTTTTTGTATTTATTAGGAGAGCTGCTGTGCACACACCACTTTTTAAGAATGAAGCTACAAGCAACTCTGCCGGCAATGTCCTTGGAGCTTACTGAATGAAAGATGCTATGACAGAACTGAATCATGGGCATCCCCCACACATCGGGCTTTCAGACAGCTCCTCCTAAGGGGAGATTAGGGTTATCTTCTTGTGCTACTTCGTCTTACTCGAGGTAGCCAGAGGAAAGGCAGGGACGCCTTAGAGCAAGATGTGAAGGGTATATTGTGCACTCTTTTCAGAATCTCCCCTTTCAATTTTATATTTCTATTAGATCCTCAAGGTGAATGCCTTCCATCCCCTGTGATTTACCCCTCTTGAGTTGTTCAAGTTGTTCTACAGTGCACTCTTTAGATATTTCTGTCTCTTTTAAAACTGCACTCTCCTCTCCCTTTCAACAGAACCTTTGAAATAAAGTTTTTCTATCATTTCTATATTTCAGTGAGTTACAAAAATAAATAGATAATAAATATGGTAATAACTTGGCTGTTCTCTGAATTTAATTGCTCTTTCTCCCCTCATCATGCTATTTCCTAAGCAGAATGAGGTTGTCTTCATTGATCTTTGCATGCAAAGTTATATCTTTTATTTAGTTGATTCTACTAGATCATAAACTCTTGTCTCCAGAGACCATACAGTATATATTTTGAATATCCCCAATACACAGTGTACAACTTTGATGCCAGCAAAGCACACACTATCATGCAGCCCTGTCTACACAGAACAAGTGAGTAAAACATAATTAAGCCCCTTCATGCTAATGAATGAACCACAGTTCAATATTAACAAAGATGTTTGGGCTATTTCCATAATATTTTAATTTTAATATAGTCTTGTCTAATGTCAGAGCACTTTCATCTTTTAGAAGTCTCGGTTATCTATTCATTCCTACTCATATCTGTCCAAACTTACTCTTTTTGAGGTCCAAATCAAATGGCCCTTCTTTAATGAAACCTTCTCATTTATCCAATTTGTTTTTCGTGAATAACTGCTATGTGCCCAGAACTATGCTAAGTGCTCAGGATACAATGGCTAATAAGTGAGCCACAAGGTCCCAGTGTTCATGGAATTTATAGACAATAGAAAAGACAATGAACATATAAGTGTTAAGTTGGATAGGGGCAGAGCTATGAGAGTGCAGCGCCTGGGACCTGGCCTAATCTGAAGGGTCAGCAAAGGATTCTCTGATAAAGGGACATTAAACGGAAGTCATACAGGTAGAAAGTTGGTTAGTGTAGGGTAAAGAGAAAAGGGTCCTTAATGTGAGGGCACAAGCTTAGGCCCTGCAGTAGGAAGCATCTAACAGACATATGAAAGAACATCAATGAAAGACAAAGTAAGGGCCTGAATCCTAAGCAGATGGAACGTCACAGACATTTTTTTAAAGAGGAAACAGGCATGCTTAGTTGTAAATTCTTCCTCCAGCTCTTTCAGAGAACAGACTCAAAGGAACCTACAGAGGACGTGGAAGACCAGGGAAGGCACTGCGGGCAGTACCTGCTGTCAGAGGGCAACAGGACTGTATATATTGCACAGCAGATAAAACGGAAATGACTTTAGTGCCCAAAGATATTGATCTGAATGCTGGTTCTACTTCTCACAAGCACTCACATACTCCATCTGCAGGGAGGGCTTGTTGGTATTCTTTTCATTTCCCTTAGGAAAACCTACATTTCCGAAATAAAATGAGACAACAGCAATATTTTTGGCCAAGAAAGAGGCACAAAAAGACACGGTGAAAACAAAGCACTACTTACTCCTGAAAAACCATAATCTATCAAATATCTTTTTCTATGCAGGTATGTGCAAATATATGATTGTAATAAAAAGTATGACTACTATGGTCCCAGTTTATACACGCATGGGTTTATGTCATGTTTAATCATGTGTCTGATCTGTGGATACCTACAGATAAGCTCTGCCAGTAATATACTTGTCTTCGTCTTGTTTGGATGCCTTAAAAAAAAGCTTCAATCAAAACAGTGTTTAAAGGCTATCTGCAGAGCCAGTTAAATTCAAGGCAGAGAGGTCAGCTCAGAGGTTGTGGCAACTCTTTCGTTTTTGGATTCCCAATGGGTAGTCTTCATCAATTCTCAAAGTACACAGGATGGGCTCAGTGTCTTATAATGAAGAAGTTAAAGAAAACTACATTGGTAAGAAAAAGGCCAGGAATGTTGTAGCAATGAATGTTTTCCATTACCACAATAAACCCCTTTTTATTTTGTATCCTTTCTTTACTATTGAAATCATTTTATTGGGAGCTCTTATAGTTAGTATAACAATCCATAATTCCATTAGATCATGCAGAATTGTACAATTGCTGCCACCATAATTTTCAAATAGCAAGAGCTACGAGAATTGCACTGGGCCACCTTACTCCATTTGCCCCACAGACCTGACCTTCACATTCTTTCTGTACTCCAAACTGAAAGAACGCCTAGAATTTGAGTCCCTCAAGGAGCCCCAAATTGGAATTTTGACATGGTGCAAAAATCAAATTTGGAGAAGGGTGAGATGGAAATCTTGCCTTCAGAAATGCTCACACCTAAATTGAAAAAAAATGTATTTTCACATTTTGATATTTTTTTGTTTAATAATGGAGCCCTGCTTGCACTGTGAGATATGGGTGGGGCTGCTAACCACAAGGTTGGCAGTTCAAACTCGCTAGCAGTTCATCGGGAGAAAGATAAGGCTGTCTGCTCTTAGTACATAGGATTGTTCTGAGAAGGAATCTGCTGAATGACAGTGGTTTTAGTTCACTTTAATGATTTCATAACCCTTGTATGTATGTAAGTATGCATACTCGAATGCACACACATGTGTGTGTGCATTCAATGAGTAGGTGATATGAGAGATTTAAAGCTAGCTTTAAATCTAAGCTTCATTCAACGTAGACCCCTTGCTGAGAATTTGTATTTGCACCCAGCTATAAGGAATCTGAATTTACATTTTTATTGGATTTCAAGAAGAATCTTACAGGATGTAGTTAAAATGTATATTCAGATTCAGTGTGACTAGTGTGGAAATGCTAATGTTCAGCCCTGGGCCAAACGAGAATGAACTCGTTCGCAGTCCCATTTAAAATTCCTCAAAGTCCCTTTAACAGAATTCCCAGCAGTACAGAGGTGAAGCTCAGGGGTTGAACTCCGCAAGCACTCTGAGGGCA